AGAAATGGACATTGGAATTAAATGTAAGAACTAACATTGTAACATTTCTAGAAGAAAGGGCAGGACAAAATCGAAGTGAAATTGGATTTGACAAAAAAAATCTCTTAAATAAGCCATCAAAAACATGGAGTATAATACACAAAATCAATAAATTGGACTTCAATCCAAACTGAAAAAGTTTGTTCTAAAAATACACTTTAGGCCCTAGCTGGTTTGGCTCAGTAAATAGAGCATTGGCCTGCTGACTGAAGGGTCCTGGGTTCCATTCCGGTCAAGGGCACATGCCCTGGTTTTGGACTCCATCCCCAGTAGGGGGCATGCAGGAGGCAGCCGATCAATGATTCTCTATCATCATTGATGTTTCTATCTCTCTCTCCCTCTCCCTTCCTCTCTGACATCAATAAAATAAAATAATTTTTTTAAATACAAAAATAAAAATACACTTTAGGAAAATGAAAGGTAAGGCACATAATGAGAAAATATATACAAAATATAATCACCAATAGTCCTGTAATTCAAATATGTAAAGAACTTTTGAAAATCAATAAGATGTAAACAACACAATTATAATGGATAAATATTTTAACAGAAACTTCACCAAATAAAATAAATGGATGCCAATTAAACCCTTGAAAAGATGCTCAATATTATTAGTAATTAATGACATGTTAATTAAAATTAAAGTGATAGACCACAACACACGCATTACAATGGCTCAAAATAAAAATATTGACTATATCAAGGCTCTGTAAGTATGCAATCAGAGTATATATGGTTACGGATATTTGGAAACACTTTGTCAGTTTCTTAAAATGTTAACACACCCTACTGCTGTTCTTAAGTTTTTTGTTTTTTTTTTAAATATATTTTATTGATTTTTTACAGAGAGGAAGGGAGAGGGATAGAGAGTTAGAAACATCGATGAAAGAGAAACATCGATCAGCTGCCTCCTGCACATCTCCTACTGGGGATGTGCTTGCAACCCAGGTACATGCCCTTGACTGGAATCAAATCTGGGACCTTTCTGTCTGCAGGCCGACGCTCTATCCACTGAGCCAAACCGGTTTCGGCCATGTTCTTAAGTTTTTATCTAAGAGAAATGAAAGCATAGGTCCACACAAAGACATGTACATAAATATTCATAGCAGCTTTATTTGTAAATAGTCAAAAACTAAAAACAACCCAAATAATGAAACAATGAAATACAGAACAACAGAAAGAAATGAATTGTTGGTTAAAATAACAGGATGAGTATTTCTCAAAATAATTATGCTGTGCTAAAAAAGAGGGGGGGAAAGCCCTGGCCAGTGTGGCTCATTGGTTTGAGGGTCTTGGGTTTGATTCCCAGTCAGGGGCTGGTGTCTGGATTGCAGGTTCTATCCCCACCCCCGGGGTTGGGGTGTGTGGGGGAGACAACCAATTGATGTGTCTCTCACATAGATGTTTTTCTCTCTCTCTCTCCCTCCTCCCCCATCCCTTCCACTCTCTCTAAAAATCAATGGGAAAAATATACTCACTCCTTGGGTGAGGATTTAAAAGAAAGGACAAAAACTAGAATACAGTGTATGTTTCCATTTAAATAAGGTTCAGCAAAATGCAAATTAATCTATAGTGAGAGAAAGCAAATTAGTGTTGCCTACGGATAAGGGTGGGGATGGGTAAAGAGGAAAGCAATACATAGGAAAATAAAGAAACTTTTAAAAAATATATAATTTTATTGATTTCAGAGAGGAAGGAAGAGGGAGAGAGAGATAGAAATATCAATGATGAGAGAGAATCAGTGATTGGCTGCCTCCTGCACACCCTGTATTGGGGATCGAGCCTGCAACCCGGTCATGACCAGAATCGAACCCAAGTCCACAGGCCAACGCTCTATCCACTGAACCAAACTGGCTAGGGCACAAAGATACCTTTGAAGGTGGTGGTTATGGTGACTATTTTGATTGTAGTCGGGGTTTCATGAGTGCAGACATATGGATTTTTGTTAAATTTAAGAAATAGAAAAAAATGTTTGGAATGAAAGATCTCTCAAAACAATGCATTAAGGCCTAAAAGTTCTTTGACAATTTATTAGCCAATTAGCTTTTCTTTAAAGTGAATAATACTGTAAGTCAAAACCTTGAAGACTTAATTTTTTCTATTTGTTTTGTTATTTTTTTAAATTACATTCAATATTATTTTGTATTAGTTTCAGGTGTACAGCGTAGTAGTTAGACAATCATATACTTTATAAAGTGTACCCCCTGGTATTTCCAGTACCCACCTGGCACCATATATTCTCTTTATTTTAAGGTGCCATTGTTTTGTTTTTTTCATTCTGGGTCATATATTCCAACTATTCCTTCATATGCTACAAAATGTACCTTTTTCTTTACTCTTAGTAACGTGTCTCTCAAGCAAGGTCTGGCTCCTCAGTTTAATAGTTCAGGAGCCTGCCTGATTCTGATGTGAACCACTTGGGGGCACAATTATCTATCAGAAGTCTGACATTTAAGGAACACTCTGTCTTAGGTACCTGTGGCTGGGAAATGAAAAAGTGATGAGCACTTATTGCAAATACCGCTTGGTGAGTCAAGTATGCTAAGTGGGTTGGACTGTTCCATTACCAAAATATTCCACCCAATCTTTGTCCACAATTTTTTTAAATATATTTTCATTAATTTCTGAGAAAGGAGAGGGATTGAAATGGCAATGGGATGAGAATCATTGATTGGCTGCCTCCTGCACTCCTCCTACTGGGGATCGAGCACACAACCCCTGGCATGTGCCCTTGACCGGAATCGAACAGGGGAACCTTCGGTCCCCAGGCCAGTGCTCTATCTACTGAGCCAAATCGGCTAGGGCCACAGTTCATTTTTTAAAAAATATATAGTTTTATTGATTTCAGAGAAGGGAGAGGGAGAGACACTGAAACATCAATGATGAGAGAGAATCATTGATTGGCTGCTTCCTGCACTCCCCCTACTGGAGAAGGAGCCTACAACCTTGGCATGTGCCCTGACTGGGAATTGAACCATAACCTCCTAGTCCATAGGTGGAGCCTCAACCTCTCAGCCACTTCCACCCATTGTCCACAGTTCCTCAGTTTCCCAATACCTCTTCACACTTCAAGATCCCACTTCATCGTTGCATAGCAGCCCACAGTAGACCTTTGGGGAAGTGCTTCTTCTTGGAAAGGTAAGTTCATGTGTATGATAGGCTGAGGCAAAAGGAAGCCAGGGGGAGGGAACTAAAAAGCTGTCCTCAGCTTGGGTCTGGAGAGTGTGAGAAATACTGACAGAGAAAAAACCTCGTGACTATATGAATCCAATGGGCTTTGAAGCAGGGCCCTTGCATCTGCATATATGAAATAACTGATGTTAAAATAATTAACATTTTTGCCAAGCAAAAGGTTTTCTTCGGACCAAAGTAACCATCTGAATTGTGAACCTCTGCCGGGCCAGTGTGGCTCAGTGGTTGAGCATCCACCCAGGACTGAAGAGCTCACTGGTTTGATTCCCCGTCAGGGCACATGCCCGGGGTTGTGGGTTTGGTCCCCAGGGTGGGGATTGCAGGAGGCAGTCAATCCATGATTCTCTCTCATCATGGATGTTTCTATGGCTCTCTCTCTCCTCCCCTCCTCTCTGATATCATTAAAGATTTATTTTAAAATATATATTAGGTACCAAATTTTCCTGGTCAAGACGGTTCTGGACACAGAAGTTGTCCAGAAAGCAAACAAACAAAAAAAGACATCGCTTTCAGACTTGCCAGCACTATGGTAGATAAGGCTGACACACACTGTGTCCTCCAGCCAGCCATCCGTCCATCCATCCATCCGTCCATCCAGCCGTCCATCCATCCAGCCATCCATCCGTCCAGCCATCCATCCGTCCAGCCATCTGTCCATCCATCCATCCATCCAGCCATCCATCCGTCCAGCCATCCGTCCATCCAGCCATTGATGGTTCACATGTGAGAGGCAGTGAGCCCCGGCTGAGCCCCGGGAGGGTGGGCGTTTGTGGCGGTTTGCACCGCGAGGGGGACATGAGCGGCATCCAGCAGATGGGCCTCTGGGCACTGTGGCCCCGTGGGCACAGGAGCCGTCACTGCCCTTCACCTGGAGGAGGGGGCTGCTTCCCTCCCGCGTGAGCTGTGTGCGAGGTGTGTGTGCGTGCGGGGGTGTGTGTGTGCGGGGGGCGGGCGCCACGTGAGCTGTGTGTGTGCGGGGAGGGGGGGCTGCTTCCCTCCCGCGTGAGCTGAGTGTGTGCGGAGGTGTGTGCGGGGGAGGGCTGCTTCCCTCCCGCCTGAGCTGTGTGTGTGCGGGTGTGTGTGTGTGGGGGGGGGCTGCTTCCCTCCCAAGTGAGCTGTGTGTGTGCGGGGGTGTGTGCGGACGGGGGTGTGCGCGGGGCGGGGGTGTGTGCGGGGCGGGGGTGTGCGGACGGGGGTGTGTGCAGGTGGGGGTGTGTGCGGGGCGGCGCTGTGTGCGGACCGGGGTGTGTGCGGGGCGGCGGTGTGCGGACGGGGGTGTGTGCGGGGCTGCGGTGTGTGCGGGCGTGAGCTGTATGTGCGGGTGTGTGTGTGTGTGTGTGCGAGGGTGTGCGCGGGGCGGGTGTGTGTGTGTGTGCGGGCGGGGTGTGTGTGTGCGGGTGTGTGTGTGTGTGTGCGGGGCTGTGTGCGGGGCGGGTGTGTGTGTGTGTGTGTGTGTGTGCGGGGCTGTGTGCGGGGCGGGTGTGTGTGTGTGTGCGGGCGGGGTATGTGCGGGGCGGGTGTGTGTGTGTGTGCGGGCGGGGTGTGTGTGTGTGTGCGTGTGTGTGCGCGCTGGCGGGTGTGTGTGTGCGCGGGTGTGTGTGTGTGTGTGTGTGTGTGTGTGTGTGTGTGTGTGTGTGTGCGGGTGTGCGGGTGTGTGCGGGCGGGCGGGGGGGGCGCCTTGGCCCGGCGCGGGGCGTCCCGGCGGCTGCGGGGCGGGCATTTAAACCGCGGGGCGCGCACGCGTTCCCCGGCTGACGGGGCGGGCCCTGCGCGGCGCTCTCTCCTCCCGGAGCGCGGCCGGCCCGCGGCAGGGGGCGGGGTCGCACCTCCTCCCGGCGCCGGCGCCAGCGGAGCCTGCGGACGCCGCCATGGAGATCCCGGCGCTGCTCCCGGCCCGCGGGGCGCCCCAGGGCGGCGGCGCCGGCAGCGCGGCGGGCGGCGGCCGGGTCCCCGGCGCCCTCGACCCGCGGGCCGGCCAGGCCCCCGCGCGCCGCCTCCTGCTGCTGCGGGGCCCCCAAGATGGCGGGCGCGGGCGGCGGCGCCAGGAGGCCCGCGCGGCCTCGCGGGGCCCAGGCCCCAGCCCTCTGGCGCCCAGGCCCGGGCCGGCGGGCGGCGGCGGCGGCGGCGGCGGCGGCGACGACTTCTTCCTGGTGCTGCTGGACCCGGTGGGTGGCGACGCGGGGCCCGCGGGCGCCGGCCAGGCCGCGGGGCCCGTGTGGAGGGAGGAGGCCGGGCCGGGCCCCGGGCTCCGGGGCGGCGAGGGCGGCGCGAACCCCGCGGGCCGGCCCGCGCCGGGGCCCCGCTGCCTGTCGGCGCTCCCCGCCGCGCTGCCCGCCGCGGCCCCGGCCCCGGCCCCGGCCCCGCTGGCCGCCCCGCTGCCCGGGCCGGGCCTGGGCCCCGCCGCGGCCTTCGCGGGCACCGTGACCCTCCACAGCCAGAACCTGCTGCTGCGCTTCGAGAACGGCGTCCTGACCCTCGCCGCGCCCCCGCCGCCCCCGCCCCCGCCGCCCCCGCCGCCCGCCTGGGAGCCGGGGGTCGCGCCCGCCCCGCAGCCCTCGCCGCCGCAGCCCGCGGGCCCGATCGCGCCCCAGGCCGGGGCCCCGCACGCCGCCGCCGTGCAGCCCGCCACCACCACCGCGCAGCCCGGCGACTGCCCCGACCGGCCGCCCGACCTGCTGCTGGCCGAGCCCGCCGAGCCCCCGCCCGCGCCCGCGCCCGAGGAGGACGCCGAGGCTGAGGCCGAGGCCGAGGCCCCGGTCCCGGCGGCGCCCGCCGGCCCGAGCCCCCGCGCGCCCCTGGGCCCGGCCGCCGCCGCGGGGCTGCTGCTCTACCTGTGCCCCGAGGCGCAGTGCGGCCAGACCTTCGCCAAGAAGCACCAGCTGAAGGTGCACCTGCTGACGCACAGCAGCAGCCAGGGCCAGCGGCCCTTCAAGTGCCCGCTGGGCGGCTGCGGCTGGACCTTCACCACGTCCTACAAGCTCAAGCGGCACCTGCAGTCGCACGACAAGCTGCGGCCCTTCGGCTGCCCGGCGCCCGGCTGCGGCAAGAGCTTCACCACCGTGTACAACCTCAAGGCGCACATGAAGGGCCACGAGCAGGAGAACTCCTTCAAGTGCGAGGTGTGCGAGGACAGCTTCCCCACGCAGGCCAAGCTCAGCGCCCACCAGCGCAGCCACTTCGAGCCCGAGCGGCCCTACCAGTGCGCCTTCTCGGGCTGCAAGAAGACCTTCATCACCGTCAGCGCGCTCTTCTCCCACAACCGCGCCCACTTCCGCGAGCAGGAGCTCTTCTCCTGCTCCTTCCCGGGCTGCAGCAAGCAGTACGACAAGGCCTGCCGCCTCAAGATCCACCTGCGCAGCCACACGGGCGAGCGGCCCTTCCTGTGCGACTTCGACGGCTGCGGCTGGAACTTCACCAGCATGTCCAAGCTGCTGCGCCACAAGCGCAAGCACGACGACGACCGCCGCTTCCTGTGCCCCGTGCAGGGCTGCGGCAAGTCCTTCACGCGCGCCGAGCACCTCAAGGGCCACAGCATCACCCACCTGGGCACCAAGCCCTTCGTGTGCCACGTGGAGGGCTGCTCCGCCCGCTTCTCCGCGCGCAGCAGCCTCTACATCCACTCCAAGAAGCACCTGCAGGACGTGGACACCTGGAAGAGCCGCTGCCCCGTCTCCACCTGCAACAAGCTCTTCACCTCCAAGCACAGCATGAAGACCCACATGGCCAAGAGGCACCACCTGGGCCAGGACCTGCTGGCCCAGCTCGAGGCCGCCACCGCCCTCACGCCCAGCAGCGAGCTGGCCAGCCAGGGCCACAGCGACCTCAGCGACGCCGAGCTGGTGTCCCTCTTCTCGGACGTGCCCGGGGGCGGCGGGGGCGGGGGCGGGGGCCCTGGCGGCGGGGGCGGGGGCGGGGGCGGCCAGCACGGCTCCGCCGCGGTGCTGGACACGGCCCTGGTCAACTCGGGCATCTTGACTATCGACGTGGCCTCTGTGAGCTCCACTCTGGCCGGGAGCCTCCCCGCCAGCGGCGGCAGCGGCGGCAGCGGCGGCAGCGGCGCCGCCTTGGGGCCGCCCGTGGACCCCCGGGCCCTGCTGGCCACCACCGACCTGCCTCAGAGCCTGGATACCTCGCTCTTCTTCGGGACGACGGCCACCGGCTTCCAGCACAGCCCCCTGGACATGGACGACGTGTCCGGCCCGGGCGCGGGGCCCCTGGGGTCCCTGGGCTCCCTGGCCATGAAGACCTGCGGCCAGGAGCCCCAGGCCCTGACGCCCAGCAGCAAGCTGACCGTGGACACCGACGCGCTGACGCCGTCCAGCACCCTCTGCGAGAGCAGCGTCTCCGAGCTGCTGACGCCCAAGGCCGACTGGGCCGTCCACCCCGACTCGGACTTCTTCGCGCAGGAGGACGAGGACGACACCCAGTTCGGCTTCTCCCATCCCGCGGGGAGCCACGGCTGCCCGAAGGAGACGGATCTCATCGCCGTGACTGGCAGCTCCTTCTTGGTCTGAGCCCACGCCCTTCATTCCTCGCCACGGGGCTGACGTCCGTCCGTCCGTCCGTCCGTCCGTCCGTCCGTCCGTCCGTGACGCTCGATGTTAAGGATGTTCTGGACTGTGTGTGACTGCGGCCCTTTCTCTTGGGCCCGAGAAAGAACATGGCCCCGGGCCACGCCTTTGCAGGTCTCAACTCTGACCTTGAATCTGGAACTGTCGAGTTGAGTGACCCTGAGCAAGTCACTTAACCTATCTGAGCCTTAATGTCCTTATTTATAAAATGAGGTGGTTTGAATAGATTGCTTCTGAGGTCCTTTGAGCTCTGTGGTTCCTTGATAATATACTTCTTTTCATAAAAAAATGACATTTTCAGTAACGGTGTTGCATGTGCTTTTTTAAAAAACATGCATAAAATACACAATTATATGAGCATCTATGTTTTTGGTGTCCAACTTCAACAGTTATGAATTCATGAACAATCTTGTTTAATCTCCACTTTAACCCTCTTGCAGTATTATTTCGGAGTAAATATCAGACATCACGTCATTTTATGGTTGATTTCAACCGTTAATACTCAATATATAGTTCTATACGTATGGGTTCTTTTAGGAAAAAACTACAATTCCATTATCATACTTAAAGTTAACAATAACTTCTTAATAGTAATAAATGTTCAGTCCGGGTTTCAATATCCAATTTTTTCATAAATGCTAGGTTGTTTTAATATTTTGAATAATTAGAATACTATTAAGTCTCTTAAGTGTCTTCTTTATTCTTTTTTAAATTAAAATATTAACTTTTTATTTTTCAATTATATTTGTCATACAACATATTTCACTGTACAACATAGTTACCTGCCATTTATATAAATTACAAAGTGATCACCCCCAGAAGTGTCTTGTTCATCTATATATTTCCCCCTTGCCTACTTTTCTTGCAGTTTTATTCCTTGAAAAATTGAGGTGGTTTTACATGTAGCATTTGCCACAGTCTTAAGTTTTGTTGATGACATCCCCCTGGTGTTAAATTCCTCTTCCCTCTGTTTCCTTAACTTTATAGTTGGAGCTAGGGAGTTGGTCAGACTGGAAATATGACTTTTTGTGCAGGCATGTTTTATAGGCTGTGTTGTGCTCATTTATCAGTAGCACATCATGTCTGGTGTTAATTTCGAGATGAGATATCCACAGCTGCTGCTGTTCATTGCATTAATTCATGATTACTTGTGCTTCTGAATATCATGAATTGTTCTTGTAGAGTTACTCTTAGCGGAGGAAGATATGCTGTTTAAGGCATTTGTAAGAGATTAATAGAAATATTATTCAATGCCAAAATATTTTCTTAAGTAATGATAGAACTAGCGAGAAAAAAAGATAACAAAAATATGTTGGCTGCCCTCACCGTTTATCTTTCTGACCTCTTTTGAAATGGGAGGTTTCCTTGTAGAAATGGCCAGCCAGGTCTTTGACATGAAATGGCCCCAGGGTCAAATTTGTGATGGATAAGTGGCCTTGAATAAATTAGTGTCACAGAGCCTCAGTTTTCTAGCTGTCAAATGGTCCTAGCAATGCACACACATAGTTAACACACCTTAGACTTTTCCAGTTATATTAATATGTAAAGAAAAAGATTTGTGTTGGTGTATTTTGATGAACTTATATAATCTTTTTACCCTCTTATTCCTTCCTGCTATAAGGGAAAAATTGGAGTAAGTTAGTCCTATTTATGTTCAGACAATAAGGTTTTTAAGGGTTAAGGTGAAGCAGAATAGGGAATCTATGTATTCCCTCCAATGAACAGTTTCCTCCCCAGGAGTTTCAGTGGGGAAATGCTAGGAGACATTCCTCACAGTTACTTCCACATCCCTCTCCATTAGATCAATTTGACACCATCTTCGCTCTGTTTCCAAAGTCAGACTTCACTAGGACTGTGGATCCTGCTGTTGCATGAGTCACTAATAATGGAGCACAGGGTTCCTCCTGTCTGGTCTGGAGAGCTCATTGTTTGCACCTGCCCAGAGTTGGAAGGAAAGATTGAATTTGAATATAGTGTAAATTGTCACCTTATGTGACTATAGCATTTTGAATTTTTTTTCTTATTTTTTTTCTTTATTGATTAAGGTATTACATATGTGTCCTTATCGCTCCATTTCCCCCTGCACCCTCCCACTCATGCCCTCACCCCCCTGTTGTCTGTGTCCATTGGGCATTTTGAATTTTGTGGAACATCTTTACAACAGGTAAAGATGAAAAAGTCTTATTTGTTATTCAGAATGACCCTGTGTAGTTTTGGCAAAAAGTCTGTGCTTTGGCTCATGTGACAGTTTAGCCAACTCACATTCAAAGTGGACTTTAGCCAGTGACTTACAGCTTTAAAAAAAAAAAGAAAAAATTCTTTTCACCTCCCCCTTCCCACTCATCCAACTTTCATGATTCGTTCCTGTGTTATAATTAGCTGCTGTTTTCCACTTTAATTGGTTTATTACTTTCTGCTTTCTTCACACTCCACTCCTTTGCATGCACATTCCGGTTCTTGCCATGCTTGTCTTTTTTCTTCTTAAGTAGTTAGATCTCTTCCTGCCACTATCCCTCAGACATTTGCCTCATGGCCCATTTTCTGCCAATGATAACATTTGCTGAGTATACACGGCAGTTCTGTGTGTACAGTAAGAAGTTATTTTCTGAGCTTAGATAATAATTCGTGTGTATGTGATGTGACGCAGATAATAGATTATTTTCTATACTGTTCAGATGAGAAGTAAATTTCGGTTTCATTATTTCCATTTTTTAAACATTTTTGCAAAGGAGTTCTGCTAATTAATACTTGCTCTAGTTTATTAGTCCAATAGTGTTTGCATGTGAATGTCTATGGAGGACAGTTATTGTAGCACTTTGGCAGTGCACTAAATATTTCCACTTTGAAATGTTTCTGTAGTGTGTGTGTTGGGTATACACACATATATTTTTACAGTGGTTGTATTCATTTATTGAAGAACAAAAATTAGTCATACTTTTTGCTCAGAATTTCATTGTGTCTACTTACTCAATTATTTTCTCTTTGCTTTAGAAATATTTATATTCATAAAGTGCATTTCAAAAAATATTGTCAATCATTAAAACCTCTTAAATAGACCACTATTTTTCATGTCTGACAGATATGTGTGTTATGTATTAAAATGAACACACAAGTAGCAAACATTAAATAAATTATTTAAACATGAAAAGAACTTAATACTGTGACTTAATTTTTAATTTCTTAAACCAACTTCTTTCCAATAAAATAATAATCTATATTTTTAATACTCCTTGCTGGAATTTTCAAAGGACAAATGTTGCTTTTTTCAAAACAAACCATTTATCTACTAGAGGCCCAGTGCACAAATTTGTGCATGGGTGGGGTCTTGACGGGGGTGGGGGGTGAGGGGTGAAGGCTGGGACGTGATTGGCCCTCCGGGTGGGCAGTGGTGCTGTCGGGATCATGCAGGTGGCACTGGTGCCTGGCCCATTCTCCAGAGATTGGACCTGCAGGACTACTGAGGGAGTGAGTGACTGCCACCAGGCTGGTGAGCCATCAGGACGGGTCAGTCAGCTGAGCGGCATTCCCACTGTGAGAGTACACTGACCACCTGGGGGAAGCTCCTGCATTGAGTGTCTGCCCCCTGGTGGTCAGTGCGCATCATAGCGCCTGGTCGTTCTGGTCGTTTGGTCGCTTAGGCTTTTATATAAATAGATGAGCTCACAGTTTCAAGTGATTTCTCTTTCAACATTTTCTAGAAAAACGGTGAAGCCTTTATAATTTCAGTGAAAGCAATTTAATTTCTGTTGGTAGTGGCATTTTAAATGTACATGTTTTAATTTAATCCTATTTTCTTTCTCAGTTATTGATTTTTATTTTAAAATGGACACAAGACACTGTGGGGGTGGGGTAAGGGCATGTGCCGGGGGGGAGGGGAGGCCAGGGGAAGGTCAATGGGGGAAAAAAGGAGACATGTACTACTATGTGTAATACTTTAAACAATAACATAAAATGTAAAAAAATCTTGCCAATTGAAAACACAGTAACATGATGACTTAAAAAGAAGTCTGATTCTATGGGCTCTGTTGATCATAAGTTAAAAATATATTTGCCTTGGCTTTAATTTTACCAGCTAGTATAATTATTATAATACAACACTTGAGTAGAAAAACATGGAACATGGATAGATTATGAAATGTATTTGTCTCTGTGACCTAAACTCTTTTTTAAAATATATTTTAACTGATTTCAGAGAGTGACTATAGAAAACTTAGAATTATACATATTATCACAATTTTTTAAATTAAAATTACATATATTGCTCTTGCTTTATTTCTGTAGGCCAGCACCAATCTGGATGTTACATTACCTTTCTAGTTTACTGTGCATTAAAATGAGCTTGGCAGTTTCTGCTGTCCATTAAGTGTGTTTTCTACTACTGATTTTCTTAACTGTGTTTTTATTGATTTCAGAGAGGAAGTGAGGGGGAAAGAGATAGAAACATCAATGATGAGAATCATTGATTGGCTGCCTCCTGCACGCTCTCCTACTAGAGACTGAGCTTGAAACCCGGGCATGTGCCCTGACCTCCTAGTTCTTAGGTCGATGCTCAACCACTGAGCCATACCGGCAGGGCCATTATGTTCAGTGTTAATTCCTGTAAGTGGAAAACCTTCGCATAAAAATATGACATGATACTCTCAAGCTTTAGCCTCTTCAGGGAACCTGTCTGAATGCTGGATTGACATCTGATGCCTGCCTCTACCTGTGGTAAAACTGACTGACCCACTGTTACTCTTGTTAGCAATTTTTCAATCATCCCCAACTTTACTGTAGATTTTACAAAACCCCTCTGCAAAGCCACTATGGCAGGAAACATCCCCACTCAGCACACTCCTTCTCTACCATCAAAGTTGCCATCCAGTTAGTTCACAAAGCACCTAATGGGGAAATAATTAGTTATTAAGGAGGAGTTATAGCCTCACATTTACCCTGTACAGGTGCTGTCTGGACCTATACACCTTTCCCCCTGTTTCTGACCAGTCAATGGAGCCAAGTTTGTATATCTTCGTAAGATAAAATGCTGCTAATTGTTTAGGAAAAGTATATCATTTTAAATGTGAATCATTCCTTTTATCTTGCTAGAAGGATTTTTTTAAAAATATATTTTATTGATTTTTTACAGAGAGGAAGGGAGAGAGATGAGAGTTAGAAACATCGATGAGAGAGAAACATCGATCAGCTGCCTCCTGCACATCTCCCACTGGGGATATGCCCGCAACCCAGCTAGAAGGATTTTTAACCCCTATGTTGATATTTGATCAAGTGGAAAAGACCTGTATTTCAATTTAGAACAGTGGTTCTCAACCTTGGCTGCACATTAGAATCACCTGGGAATCTTTTTAAAATCCTGATTTCTGGGCCTCATCCTCCGGAAATTCTGTTTCTTTGTTATGGGGTGGGGCCACAACGTTAGTAACAAAGAAACAGAATTTCCAGAGGATGAGGCCCAGAAATCAGGATTTTAAAAAGATTCCCACCGCGCCCGGCTAGCTCAGTCGGTAGAGCATGAGACGCTTAAAAAGATTCCCAGGTGATTCTAATGTGCAGCCAAGGTTGAGAACCACTGATTTAGAACAACATGGTAAGGGAAAATTGATGGCTAAGAAAAACTGTTGCATATGATCTTTATGAATATTTTAGAATGTGTATTGTCCTTTTCCCAATACCTTAAACGGAAAAGGGAAAAGTTCAAATATAAGAAAATTTGCTTCAGATAGGAGAATATCTTGACAGTAATTAGGCTGCCAGCTTAATGCTGCAATGTGTCTTACTTCACTCTCAGGGCTAATTACATAGAGTTCAGTATTTTGAAGATTACTTCCTTTGTGAGTTCCTTGTCTTGACCTCATGACAATGTTTAAACATTGGAATGCTTTTTTTTTAATACAGAATTTTATTTAGAAACTGCTTAGAGAAAAAAAAAAAACCCTGTCAAGAAAGACCAGGTGGAAAATGGGTTCCAAATAAAAAGGAATTTTAGGGCAACAAAAGACTAAAGGCCACAGAAGAGAAATAGCACCACCGTTACTTGAACAATGGCTAGTTACTTGCATTTTTGGCATTGTTAAGCACTGAATCTGTTTTCTCTCTGAATTTCACACAGAGCATGCACTACACAATGTATTATAAAATACCTGCTTTCTACACACATTTTAGGACAAACTACCACCATCAACAAATCAATACAATTACATCAGGGGCTGAACAAGCTCAGTAGTGGGTGACACACATTTTGCAGAATTCTGTCAAACAAAGGAACTGAATAGGCTGTAGGCAAAGCAAATGAGGGGTGTTAAGGAATGAAATAGTTTAAATATGAATAATTCAGACATGGTACTGTATTTTCTGCAAAAAAGAATTAACATTTAGTAACACGCTAATGAATTTTATCTCCAAAGAGATTAGTGCACTGGCAAAGTATTCTGATAACAGTGGAGGGCTGTGGACAGCAGGTACCAAAACACCCAGCCTTGCAGATCTCAAGGTAGCGAAGGCCTTCACTGATCACTCCCTTTGTCAGAAGTCCAAAAAGAACTTGCAGCATGATCACCTGCCTGCTGAACTTACACTCTAAGCAGCAAACTTTTAGGAGCCAAAGAGGAGTCCCCAGTGGGCAAGTGATGCAGAAAAACATGTTAAATGTAAACTTAAAAGACAGCAAAATGGGACAAAAACCCCCATTCAAATCCCAGAGATGTGGGCAAGTCCCCAAAAGTAGTAGTTAGATTTTAAAACTGAGCACATCTCATTTCCCAAAGACACAATACACAGAAATTTCAGGGGTAACTGGAAAAATCATCAGAGAAATGCTCAATGAATATCAAGCTATTCAACACAAATATCTCAGGGCTGAAACATACCCTCTATTCATTCAGCCAACAATGCCTCTTGCAGAGATGCAATTGGTCAAGGACACCAAATGGCTTTAGAGAGCAACTTTTTAAATTTTCCTTCTGGGCCAAGGCTAGGCCTATGAAGATTCAAGCAGCTCTGCAAGGCCTGTGAACAGCAAGTTCTAAAGGTTCCAAGTTCTGGCCCTTCCTTCCCAGACACAAGGGCAACACACAAACTCTCCTATCAGGTTACATTTTATATTTTGAAATATGCAAACGTAATTGAAATACTCTTAAGGCATTCATTTATTAAAATGTTCTCTGCCAAGATTTCACATTAGCTTAAAATTAAAATCAGTCTTTACATTTCACTACTGAGGTATCCACCTCAGCGTATCACATAAAAACACCTTCCCCAGCAATCAGTGTTACCAGCATCCATATGGTGAGCCCATGGTCAGCCTCTTTGTTCCCCAAGTGAACCAACTAGATCAGTGGTTCTCAACCTTCCTGATGCCGCGACCCTTTCATACAGTTCCTCATGTTGTGGTGACCCCCAACCATAAAGTTATTTTCGTTGCTACTTCATAACTGTAATGTTGCTACTGTTATGAATCATCATGTAAATATCTGATATGCAGGATGTATTTTCATTGCTACACATTGAACATAATGAAAGCATAGTGATTCATCACAAAAACAATATGTAATTATGTATGTGTTTTCCGATGGTCTTAGGCGACCCCTGTGAAAGGGTCGTTCAACCCCCAAAGGGGTCACGACCCACAGGTTGAGAACCGCTGAACTAGATGTTAATACTGCTCTGCTACAAGGTAAAAGCTCCTAACTCAAACTTATTGAAAAAAGAGTGAAACCTCTACAAAGTGCACTTTAAGAAGAGGTACTTTTTGCTTATGGAAAGAAACCAGTGAGTCCTCTAAAAGTAATAAAAGGGAGTACTTTACAGGTAAGCACATGATTTGGAGTGAAGAATTCGGATGTTGCTCTGCTGGTCCAAGCTGCTAATACTCTCCTTGTTCCTCCTGTGGGCCCCCTTCATCAGGCATCACAAAGCCTTCATCTGTGGCATAGAGAATGTCCACAGTCCTCTGCAATACAGGGTTGTTTTCCCCCTCGTTCTCCTGGCAAATCAATTCAATGTTCCTTAGCTTCCCAAAGTAGAAATCTCTTTCTTTCTCCAAGTCTTCGAGGGTAAGTTTCAATACGTTGACCTGCTGCATCAGTTCAGCTGCTTCGTGGTCCCCATTGCCCACATCAGGATTCTTTGCACCACACCGGGCCAGCCTGAGGGGTTGCAGT